ATATATATATATATATATATATATATATAATTAATTCATGGAGTCTAGAAGAAACCTATGCAGAAAGCACTGGACGGCCGTTTCGTCCTATATTTGGGACTCATCAGCAGTGCGCATCCACTACTTGAGAATTGAAAACGCGGACGGTTACGACATCAGGAAAACGTAATACTAACTGCATCAACGGGCCTCGGTGACGAAGGGGTAACGAATTAGACTCGACACAGCGCCGCTCGATCATATATTCTGTGGTGGAACTCATCCGAGTTTCTCTTTTACCCATGAGGACCGTACCCCTACGAGCCACGACTATTATTCCTAACCCGCTCTGTCCAGAGTATTAGAAGCTGGTTCAAGCAAGGATTTACAAGTGATAGAAAGATTTAATTATAATTATCTCAAATCCTCCTAATTTCTATCACACACACACACACACACACACACACACACACACATATATATATATATATATATATATATATATATATATACAAGATACGTCATTACAAGCCGTTTCAAGCAAGGATATACAAGTGATAGAAATTAATAGAAGGATTTAAGATAATCATAATTAAGTAATTCAAACTAGACTCGATGAATTACTTTATTATGATTATCTCAAAATCCTAATAATTTGAAACGGCTTGTAATGAAACGGCTTGAAAATCTTAAGGTATATATATATATATATATGTGTGTGTGTGTGTGTGTTTGTGTGTGTGCGTGTGTGTGTGTGAATAATTTACAAAGATTATGTCTGCTTAGTTTTATCATGATCCTTTCATATTCACGAATATTTTTCCTTATATTACAATTGAATAAAGCAGGAAATGCACAGTAAAAGTGAGAATCACTTTTATGTCCCAAGTACTTTCCATCTCATTCTGAGATCATCATCAGGGGTGCAACTTGTAAGGCAAAGACTATGTGCAGCTGTTCATTATTGAATTTTTTTTGGGGGGGTTAAATGTTACTGCTGACAGTTATGCTTTAGCTTTCATTAAAACGTGAAAAGTTATCAATTATGGAATTATTTTTTTTTATGTTGGAATATCATGGTCGAGCGCGCATTAAAACGTAAAAACTCTTCTTTTTATCGGCGTTTTAGAACATTATTACAT